TGAGACTGGCACAGGACTGGGCAGGGTTTTCTTCTATTGTACATAGGGTCACTATGAGTTGGAGCTGACTCGACAGCACCTAACAACAACAACAACGTATCAATTGTGTACTTGCACTCAGCAAGTAGCCTATGCATTAAGCTTAGAATTTTTTTCTCTGTATGGTTGTAGACAAAAATAACATTTTTAATGAAGTAATCACATAGGTAAATAAATTCAAATCCAAATAGACTAAATCTATTACTTGGCCCCACCACTTAGGCCACTATGATTTCCCTTACTTCCTTAATATCTGAGCTAATTTTAAGCCTAATCTGAAATTAAATTTATAAAGTCTTCTTCCAGGAGAGCAATTTCTCTGAATCAAAAATGATTATAATTTAATTATAATTTTGATATCATTTTCATATGCATCATGTTTTGAATTTTAATGTAAAAGGAAGTAGGAGGTACTAAATGATTCATACATTTTAGTTGAAGGACTCAAAATGGCTCATACTATGGCTATAACAAAAACTTGTGTGTGTGTGTGTGTGTGTGTGCGCGCGCCTTGGGTGCAAACTTACAGAGCAGAATTTGTTTTACATTTCACAGTTCGTGTACATTTGGTTTCACTCCCCAATTACCATCCCCAACCCTAACCCACTCTCCTCCTCTCCCTTCCCAGTAACCCCCCCTCCCTGTTCCCTTCTTAGTTATGCACTCCTGTCTGTCCACCTTTTCCTCTGTATGAATGTTGCCCCTCTGATGCCCCATGGCCAATTGCTCCAAGGGATGTATCTCCATAGAGTAGGTGGGTGCCTCACCCTGAGTTGAGTGTTCTGCATGTAAGTCTTACTTACTATTGGACTGAGAGCCAGTCCTTGGGAGTGAGTTTTATCCCAGGCCTGAAGTGTATCCCAGGGCCATAGCCTTGGTCCCACCAGACTCCATCCAACCAGTAATTCTGGTCATTATTGTGTTTTTGCATTTTGTCCAAGTTTTTCCTCCCACTCTATCCAGGATCTCCAGTTTTGATCCCTTCCCGAGTGGTTGGCATTGGTAGCCGGTCACCATCTAGTTCTTCTGGTCTCGAGGTCCACCATGACCTAGGGCTGATTGTTTCCAAATGCCCTTGGTTTTCTTCACTCTTCTTCGCTTCCAACAATAGGAGACCATTAGCTGCATCTTAGATGCCTGCTTGAGAGCTTTTAAGACCCCAGTTGCTACTCACCAATGTAGGATGTGGAGCAATGCTTTTATGTATTTTGTTGTGCCAATTGAGTCTGGTGTCCCCCATTACTATGGTCCCAAGGGGCAGATCTGGTGGATCTCTCTCCCACAGTGTCTGGCTGTCTGTGAAGGATTGCTGTATGTCTGTCTTCTGTTGTTTCTATAAGGATTGCAGGTATTTTGTATCACTAGTATCTTATCTGTGCAAGATTAGCCTCAGCTGAATATATCATTGGTCAAGAGTATATTCCTGTTCACTGACCTCCATGTGATCTTCTCAGTTGTCTATGTGTTTATCGGTAGTGGTGTTTGGTGTTAATGGTACTTTTATAAAAGTTTAATAGTATCTCCATGAGTCTTTTTATCCATACATGTAAAGACCATGTAAACTTTTGTTTAAACAAAGACATTCTAGAACATTTGAGAAAGATAAGGACATTTTAAATCAATTTTGTAATTATATCAACATTGAACTTCTACAACAGAAGAAAATGGAAAGTCACATTAATTCACTGAATTCTGATTTGTTGACATGGGAATGAGGGTGCCTTAATTTGGTGTTTTCCAGACTATTTTAGCTTGAGTCAAAATCCTGATGATATTTTAAATACCAAGATCTTATTTATTTATGGGAATTTATTTATTATGGGAATTTATTATAGGAATTATTTATTATGGGAATTCCCTTTAAAAAACGTGAAGAATATCAACCTGAAAGTTAAATATTTAACAGTTATGTTTTTCCCTGTGCCAGAAAATACTGTATAATATCACCTGGCTGTATGGCTATTTACATAATTAGGTTTCTGCTTTAAGATAATTATTATCATCATCTTTATTGCCACAAAGTAATATAAACAGGATCAAAAAGTTAAAATATTAGAAAAGTTTCCTGAGCAGAAGAGAGCCTTAACAATGTGCAGTGAGCTTCAGCTTTGTTTATGACATCGTAATTGACTGAATTCCATTAGAGTTGCTAAAGTCATTATTTCAGCAAGTCATTTTTCTTAACAGTTCTCATTTTTAAGAGTCAGGTTTCCATACATGTCACTTGAGTACAAATACAAACCCATATAGATTGCTGTACTTTGTTGTTGTTGTTATGTGCTGTCAAGTCAGACCCGACTCATGGTGACACCTCCTTGGGTTTCCGAGGTGGTATCACTATGGAAGTAGATTGCCCAACTGTCCTTCCATGGAGTGGCTGGTGGGTTTGAACCGCCAGCCTTCCAGTTAGCAGTCAAGTGCCTTAGGCACTATGCTACCAGAGCTCCTTGCTGTACTTTACTGAGACTAAAATAAAGAATGACTGGGTAGATTTGAGTTTCCAGAATTCACCTGTGGCCTTTTCTGTGGTATTGGAGAAACCAAGATATGTAGAAATTCAGTGTTGGTCACAATGATATCAATAGGTAACTGGTTTGAACACCACTTCTGAGCAGCAAAATAGCCAAATGATTCAGCATATAGGAGGAGGAAAAATAATAATAATAAAAGAGGGTATTATTAACAAACAAACAAAAAACCTAAACTATAACAATGAACCTCTTAATAATCAAACATTGACTGTGGTTATAATTTTCTATCACTGCTGGAAAGATTTTTTGCTTTTGTAATTTTTCATTTTTATTGTAGCTTATGAATGTACACAGCGAACCACAGGATGGGGCCAAAAGGCCATTGAAGTGCGCTCTTTGCAATCAAGAGTTCTGGAAAGTGAGCTGAAGCGCAGGTCAATTAAGAAGCTAAGATTCCTGTGTACCCGAGGGGACAAGGTAGAGCTTACCTCTTTCAGTTATAACTAAAATAAAGCAAATTAACTAAAGAAAGCTATATCCTTCTCTTTCCAGCTGCGAATGTGTGCTATATTTTTCAAATTGACTGACTATTGATAAAAACCACTTAACATTTTGCAGTAAAATAATGACTTGGCAAATGATGAAATTTGATTTCCAAAGGAAACCCTATTTTTTAAAAGTAAAAGTTCTAGTCATGTCCTAAGTGAAGCTTAGCCATTATTTTATTTGGTACGAAATCCTTTAACGTCTTTAATCCATAGTCCTTTGCATTTTCATATTGAACTGATATTTTAAATAGAATGCTTGAGCCAATCTGCCTTTTAGACATTTAAATAATATTCCAATAACAGAAGAAGGAAAATTTTGTAGTAGGCCTTGTGCTAGATACTTTAGAAAGCTATCATTAAATTTTCACAACTAGGTGTTATTAAAGGAGCTCTGGTGGTGCAGTGCCTAATGCATTTGAGTGCTAACCAGAAGGTTGGCAGTTCAAACCCACTAGCTGCTCCACAGAAGGAAGATGGAGCAATCTACTTCTGTAAAGATTGACAGCCTCAGAAACCCAATGGGGGTTGCTTTGAGTCAGAATGGACTCCATAACAGTGAGTTGTTTTGTTTTTTTGTAGGTGTTATTATGTCCGTTTCACACCAAAGAAAAATCAGTCAAGATTTGGCAATTATTTGAATGATTTGATCAATTCTGACAACCAATTCATTGGAAAGATCATTATATAAAATCATTGTAGTCCCTGAATATTATGAGAAATAAAAAGCTTGAAGCTAGGATTAGAAAACATTCATATTTAGAATACACTTCAGGGGTTTCATGTGAATATCAGAACAACTTGGACAAAGCAATGTATATCCAGGAACAGTGTTGATTTGCAGTGCAAAGGGAGGTAACGGAAAGGCCCAGAGTTTGAGGTCAGACTCATTCAGGATGCAGCCCTGGCTCTGACACTTAACTAGATATGAGGAACGGAAAAGTTTGATTAGTCTTCCCAGCCTTAGGTTTTTCATCTCCAAAATGAGGATATTAATAAATGCTCTGGATATCATTGTGAGAAGTAATGATAATGAGTATATAGGAAGCATCTTACAGAGTGCCTGGCACATAAAAGGTGTTATGTCAAGGGTAGTTAATATATCTTATCATCATCATTATTATGTCACAAACCCACCTAAGTACCATCATGGACGTTGAAAGACCCAGTAATGACAAAGAGGCCCTGTCTGATATTTGTGTCCATGTTCTATACCTATTTTCTTTATGGCACAAACCTTATCTACCCAAAATGCCCCTGTATAAGCCACTGTGCCAATCTGCTGCTGTTGGTCCATTCCACTGAAAAAGTGAATTGCAAAGTAGAAAATTTCAGTAGCCACTTAACACCAGCTGCAATAGTAAATAGCAGCTAATAGTCTGTTTCCATGATGTAGAAGAAAAAGGAAAGACAATTTGAGTAAAAATAGTAGGTTATTTGAAAGAAAAAAGCATGAGGGAATTACTAACTAAACTAACCAAGAACGTCAGCAGATGATTGCACACACAGGAAGCTAACAAACTAGAATTATAGAGACCATGGTAAGCGGTTATTTTATTTTTTAATATACAATTTAGATTCCATAATAAT